CCCCAATACTCAACATACTGCCTGACCCATAAGTAGATGTTCATTAATATTTGTTTATTCAGTAAATGAAAGACTAATCTTCAGACACAAAATGATAGATAATTATTTGGCATGTTTCTTTGGGATTTGTTGTTTTGTTTACAAAACACTTTCCAGTTTCTAAGATGCAAACTGATCCTGCGACTCAGTAACCAAAGGCAGAGAGTTTTGCTCTATTAATTGCACAAATTTCTAATGAGGCCTGTGGGATGGAGTCTCAAATTGTTTGTGCCCCTTGTGCCCAGAAAGAACTCTCAAGGGGAAGTCTTCTATGTCCTGGAACCAATGTATATACATCTCCTTCAGGAATAAATACATTGGACTTGGGGGTTCCAGAGATTTCAACTGTGTGGGAAGACTCTTGTAGGTTTGAGGTACCAAAGCTCTAGCCTTGAATCTGCCACCACATTATGGGCTCCCTTCTGACACTTGGAAGTATTAACTTTCTAGGCCTGGGGTTTTCAATTGCTCCCACACTGGCCTCTGGAAGAGAAACTCATCCCTGTGCTTCTTTTTTTCAATTTCAGATACATCAGCTCCTGAGAGACTTTCTCTTATTTCCTTTGCCAACTTTGCAAGAAGTAAGTGGTTGTTGGTAGAAAAAAAAGAGAGAGGAAAATTGATTTAAAATTTTCTCATTTTGTTCCTTTTGCTACTCTGGTTTTCTAATGATTTTCTTGGCATTAGACTTTCATATTTTCCCTATATCTTGCAAAACGGCTGAGACCTAGTGCTTGTAAGGTAGAATATAGTATTCTCACAGGCTTTATTTCTAAATGATGGAAGAATCTGCACAAAGTCATGGAGAGGACAATTCACAAGACAACCTGCATAATTGCAGAATTGTCATCTATGGTGATGTCTCTGGTATCTTTTGAATCAATAAGGCTGAGAGTTTGGCATTGTTCATACAGCTGTTGTCTCTACCTCCAGCTTTAACACCGTGTTTAAATATTCATTCAGTAGGATTTTGAGTTGGTGGAAATGCATGGATTTGTAGTCAGACATGCCTGTGTTTCATACTTGGCCTTGCCAGTTAGTAGTTACAGCAGTCTAACAATATTCCCAATAATCCCACCAAGCCTCACAATCCCCAGTAATAGCATAGGCAAATTTTATTTCCTTGCAGAGTAGTTACTGAACTTTAAATTGTGTAGCCTGTCTATATAGGATAGTATACACTATATTTTAACCAGGTGTTAGTTTTCTAACTACTTCCATCCATGTAGAGTTTAAGGGTCAGCTTCACTGTACTATGTTTTCTGTGTCTGTATGTTCTTTTCCCCATGGTTGTTATGCTCAGTCCTGGGTTAGATGAGTTGTCCTGACTTTTTTTCAGAAATGTAACATAGGGGCATTCAGATTGGTATATCCTAAAATATATGCTTGACATTTTTTAGATTGTGTGTGTGTATGTGTGTGTGTGTGTGTGTGTGTGTGTGTGTGTGTGTATGAGAGAGAGAGACAGACAGACAGACAGACAGACAGAACGATATGAATTGTATTGAGGCTAAGGACTCTAGGTAGATGCTATACTTACAGAAGAAGAAAATTAAAAGGGGAATAGTACTCTTCCCTGAGCTTTGCTTTCCCCCTCCCCAGATGTTAGTAGCTAAGTTAGGAACTAGAAAGAAATCTGGCTGCACTTACCAAGTCCATGTCCTTGTGTCTTCACAGAGACATGAAGACCAATCCCAGATGAGATACATCAAATTTCTAAATGTCTTCCTAAAGAAGGTTCATTCATTTCCTTGTATCCGTGTCTCATCTACCAGCACCTCAGCCAAAATAGAATTTCTCTTCCAGTACTGAGATTTTTTTCAGCAGCAAATGGCTCAGGGTTAAGAATTAAGAAAGCTAGGTTTCTGAATTAGCAGTGCCCTGAACTAAGTGTGTGATGTTAGGCAACTCCTTTATCCTATTTGGGATTAAATTTCTTCACATTTCTAACACATAGTTATTTTTGAGTAGCAGATTTACTCTTACTTTGAAAAATAAAGGAAGCTGTTACACCCAACAATTCATATAAATGTCATTCGTTTTAGACAAAAGAGCTGTTTACCCAAACATAGAATGAACGTTGGAAAACTGAAGATTAATTGCGTACGTCCGTTCTGAATGCTAATGGCTTGCCAACATTTAGTTCATCTATCCATCTTTTCCTAACTATCCTTCTATGCCTCCTCTCTGGCAGTGTTTCAACCTTTGCAACTTAATGAGCCCTACAGACATTACCCTGGGCTGGCAGTTATGCCTGGTTTTCTTTCCCTTACTTGGGTGCTTCATATGCTTCATATATATGCCTGAAGGATCCTGGAAGAAAGAAACCACATTCTCTTCCTCTCACTGCCTTGCAGCTTTAAAGTCTAGATTCTCACTTAAGTGATGCCCCGTGTGCCTGATACGGTGCCTCTGTGTACATCTGGCAGGGTCATGAGTCTCTTCCTTTAGGCTCAGAAGCATTCCTTCATTCATTAGTGCATATAATTCATACTTATGAAAAACTTAAGATATGGCAAAAATTAGGCTGGTCTCTGGAGATGTGGCATTGAGTATGACCTATGTCATCAAAGTGCTTACAATCCAGTCGATAGGTCAGATGACAAATAATTTCAGTTGGATGGGATAAGCACTATGAACTAATAAATGAAATGCCCTAGGAACTGAGATGAGAGGAATATACAGATGGAAAGGTAGAACTGAAATAGTTTCAAAGGAGGGTGAGAACACAACTGAAGCTAACTAAGCCCCACTCCACTGCATAAGTAGTATGTATTCATTACATTTTGGATCTCTATTTTCTTTGATTGGTGCAATTACTTCTCCCTGTGCCAATATTGCACCTTCTTAATTGCTACAGCTTTATAATAGGTAATATTTGAAAGACAAACCCTCTTCTGTTTTGGCTTCTTCTCTAAGAGTGTTTCGACTACTCTTAGAGCTTTTAACTTCTATATAAATTTTAGTATTAGTTGTCAATCCAACAAACCATCAAATCAACCCATTTGGGATTTGGAATAAACTGTATTGAATCCATAGATCAATTCTGGATTAATTGAAATTTTCATGCTATTATCTTCTAATTCATAAACATAATAATTTATTTCAGCCTTCTTTACTGTTTTTCATTAAGGTTTTGTAATTTTCTCCATGAAGGTCTTTATTCATGGGTGCCTTATATTTTTGAAGCTATTTTAAATGATAACTCCTTTAAAGTAAATTTGCTATCAGCTTGCTGAAGTACAGAAATGAAATAGATTTTTATAAGAAAGCTTACTAGACTTTTGTAATATTCTGATAATTTATCAATAGTTTCTTTTGCATTTTCTATGAACACAATCTGTAAATAATGTCAGTTTTATTTCTTCCTTCTCAATCTTTATGTGTTTAATTTCCTTTCGCTTGCTTTAGTAGGCTGGATAGAATATTTAATACAATGCTGAAGAAAAGTGGATGAGCAGTCGACCTTATCTTGTTCTTAATCTTAAAGAAAACCCTTTGGTATCTTACCACGAAGTGTGATGTTGGCTGCCAAATTGCGCACACACGCTCTCTATCAGTTTAAAGAAAATCTTTTGTTCTCAGATTTCTAAGGGTTCTTCTTAAAGTAAACATTACATTTTAAAAATACATTTTTGGCAGGTATTGAAATAATCATATGACTTTTTCCTTTTGAACGTTTATTTGAATAAAGTTGGATTATTTTAATTTTAAATAAATTTTCAATTCTGAAATAAAGCCGTTTGTCACATACCCTTTATAAAACGTCTCTGATATTTTGTACAATAATTTAACTTCTATAATTATGAGTGAGATTGCATATGTTTGATGTCAAGATAATTCTAGCTTCAAAAATAAGGTAGAGAATATTCCTTCTTTTTTCTATTATCTAAAAGAGTTTATGCAATGTTAAAATTAGTTTATCCTTGCTGTTTTGTAACACTTCTTCGTAAAGTTTTCTTGGATGGGAGGCTTATTTATTTGCACTCTTAACAGCTCTCTTTGTTTCTTAAAATAGTTACAGGGATTTTCAAGTTTTCTTAATTCCTGATTCAATATTGTTAAGTATTTCTCCCACAAACACATCTATTTCATTACTAAAAATACATTAAGATAAAGTTGTTCATGATGTTATTTTTCATCTTTTTGTGTTTAAAACTTCTGTAATCATATTTACTTATTAATTTGCATTAAGGTTTATTTATATCTTCATTTGTTTTTCTTGCTAAATTTCACTAATTGGTCTAAAATTTATAAATCTACTTTTGTAGATCTCTATTTTATCTGTCTTTTACATTTATAAAATCTATTTCATCATTTTCTTCCTTCTACTTTCATTTTGGTTTTGTTTTTAACTTCTTAGGTTGGAATCTCAAATCATTAACTTTAGCCTCTTCTAAAAAACAATTATTTCAAACTGTGATTTTAACTCTCAGGGCCCATATGCATTATGCATGTTTTGGTATACAATTCTTTTATTTTGGTTTGATTCTAAATATATTCTAATATCACTGTGAGCGTCTCTTTTCATGGACCATGGAATAAATTTCCAAAATATACAACTTTTCAAATTACCATTTTTTGGAAAAATTTCTGATTTAATCACATTATGGTGAGATATGGAATGTGGTTATCTTTTAAGAAAGTATAAATTTAAAAATTTTGAGACTTACTTTATGAGCCATATATGACCAATTTTTAAAAACCATTCAAATACACTTGAAAAGAATATTCTACATCAAATTTTCAAGTAATGGTGCTTTAAGTTTGTGTATTTTTATTTCTAGTCCAAACGTCTAGTCTGTCATGTCCCTAAAAATGGGGAGTTGATTTGCTATGCTTTGAACTGGGTCTTTGTTGTATTGCATCTTTGCTGTCTGAGCAGCGCACTCAAAGTCAGGGCAATCTCTGACGGGAAGAGAGTGCTGACTTGTCTTTATCTTTCAGATCTGAAGAACTCAATGAAGAGAGCCAATTGCACAGAGGTAAAAGAGTTTGTTTTTCAAGGTTTCTCCAATTTTCAAGAACACCAGCTCACACTCTTTATTGTCTTTCTTGCCCTGTACATCCTAACTCTGGCTGGCAATATCATCATTGTGACCATTATCCACATTGACCACCACCTCCACACCCCCATGTACTTCTTCTTAAGTGGTCTCTCTACCTCAGAGACCTTCTACTCCCTGGTCATTATCCCACGCATGCTTTCCAGCCTTGTAGGTCTGAGTCAATCCATCTCCCTGGAATGCTGTGGGACCCAGCTCTTTTTCTTCCTTGGCTTTGGTATCACCAACTGTCTCTTGCTGGCAGTCATGGGGTTTGACCGCTATGTGGCCATCTGCAACCCTCTTCGCTACTCCATCATAATGAATTGGAGGGTCTGTGGCATGCTGGCATCTTTAGTGTGTGCCCTAGGGTTCTTGCTGTCCTTGGTGCAGGCTGTAGCGATTTTCAGGCTGCCCTTTTGCAGTTCATTGATTGAGCATTTCTTCTGTGATGTTCAACCTATTTTGGATCTGGCCTGTGCTACCCCCCTTATTAATGATATTCTGACCTTAATTATCAGTCTCCTGGCCATCACAGCACCTGCCACCTTCCTTTTCATCTCTTATGTCCTCATTATTTCCACCATTCTCAAGATTGCCTCAGCTGAAGGCCGAAAGAAGACCTTCATTACCTGTGCCTCTCATCTCACTGTGGTTATTGTCCATTATGGCTGTGCTTCCATTGCCTACTTCAAGCCTAAATCAGAGAATACCAAAGATCAAGATCAGCTGATCTCAGTGACCTATACCATCATAACACCTTTACTAAACCCTGTTGTGTACAGTCTGAGAAATAAAGAAGTTCAGGATGCTCTGTATAGAGTAGTGGTTAGGAAAACCCTTTCTTAAAATGATAATCTCTATTCAAACAACAGTGTCTGTTTTCTAGATGGAAGCTTAGAGCTAAAGTTATACAGCCAGGATTTCATGTGATTAGTGAAGTCTAATACATTACAGCCAAGGCACAAGTGAAGCTGAGAGTTAGCCTCTAACAAAGAAGTCTCACTTCTTCCAGCCTTTTTGTTGTCTTAACAAAAACACAGGATACTTGCCAGACCTGTACACAGACAACCATTGGCCCTATTCCAGAAGATTATTACAAAGTCAAGGTCAAAACACTTTCTGTCATTTTAGGTTCATTTCAAGCTTAAATTTAAAGAGATCCATCCACTCTCCTGAAATATAAACCACATTAAAAACATTACCTAATGGAATATTCTGTTAACATAAATTGTATGCTTGAACAGTGGTTACAAAGAAAGATAGGTCCAGAAATCCAATTGCCTTATGTTTTAATAAGATAAACATGGAAAAAATAGAGTCATCTTTTAAGAAACAGATTTAGAATGAGCCAAAAACTTTCCAGGGGGAATATTTCCAAGCAATCCACTGTAAATTCTCTCTTGGCCACATGTGGACTTTCAAATAAAAGAGAACTTGGAGGTGGAGTTGGGAGTAAAGGGGAAGCTGAGTAGAGAAGTCTCCTGATCGGCATATGACAGCCTTGCAGCTCGGGCCATGTGAACAGAACTCAAGTGACTCGGGCTGACTCTGCTTCTTCTGGCTGAAGATAAGCAATATGAAGAAGGCTTTGTGGGTTGAAGAAAAGCCTGCCCCATGGAGAAGATAAACAATAGGCTCAAGAGAGGAAAGGGTGACTGCTCAGAGAAGACTGATGGAAAATGCTATGAAATTGGTTAACAAGGAAAAAACAGACACAAGTTCAAATTGCAGTTTTCAGTGCTAGGCAAGTAGGGGAAGACAGAAGGACAAGGTAAGAGTCAAGAGAAGCTAGAATTTAGAGAGGGTTTTTAATTGGATCCTCACCTTCCCAAGTCAAAAAGACAAGCAAAACAATTAAATGGAAATAAGAGCCCACCAAACATCCTTCTGGCCCTCCGTGCACCCACTGCAGACAGGAGATCCTCACTCAGAAGCCCCGGGGACTGCTCTCACTGGGGTTCACATGTGGGCCCTCCCTGTGCACACCCTGCGTTGAGTGAGCAAGTGCTCCAAGACCTGCTGATCCTGCGGATAGAGTCTGTCCTTTACTCCCACTGCCACGGTTCCCAGCTGAAACTCACGGAGAGAGCCAGGTATTTTCCATCTACTTCCTTGGGGCAGAGCTGGCAACCCAGGACGCTGCCACCATTACAATCTGAGTCTCTGCCCTCCATGCACCCATGGCAGACAGGAGGTCCTCACTCAGAAGCCCCGGGGACTGATCTCACTGTTTGCGTGGGGGCCCTCCCTGTGCGCACCCTGTGCTTAGTGAGCGAGTGCTCCAAGTGCTGCTGGTCCTGTGGTGCAAGTCCATGCTTTTCCCCCACCACCACGGTTCCCAGCTGAAACTTGCAGAGAGAGCCAGAAAAGAATCCCTCACTTAGAAGCCCCGGGGACTATTGTCACTGGGGTTCCCGTGCAGGCCCTCCATGCACGGTCCCTGTACCAAGTGAGCAAGTTCTGTTGGTATGGCACTTCGAGTCCATGTTTTACTTGCACCTGGACCCCCTAGAGGGTCGCAGGCATGGGCAGTCTGTGACTGCAGTCCATCTAGCCTGCATCTGGTTCCTGTATGTGTCCTGAACTGACTTGAGACACAGAATTAGGTGGTTCACAAACTGTCGACCCTGCAGTTTGTGTCTGGGTTTTGCCTGTACGCTGAACTGATGGGGACATAGGTCCACTGGACCAGGATTGTCATACCAGTGCAACCAGAATCTGGGCTGTGTACATGCCCTAAACTGCAAGGGGATGCTGGATCAGACAGTCTACCATCAGCTGACACCAATGCCCACGTCTGTGACCTGGGATAACTACATACAAATCAACAACTGCTGGAAAATCCCTGTTATGGTTTGTGTCTGGGTGTCCCCCCAAAGCTTCGTGTGGCCATGGGGCAGGCTTTTAGAGTTTGATTGATTATGAGCGTGAGAGCTACACCCACCCTGGGGTGGATAGTTTGCATATGTAAGGGAGAGCAAGAGGCTCTTGTGGCCATTTCCTGGCTTTTGTGCTTGTTGCTTTGCTGTGTTCTGTAGACATGAGTGGTAGCCCTGTGCCATGTGCCACTCTGCCTTGTAACCTGCCAAGTACGGATTAAAACTTCCACGAACTGTAAGCGAAATAAACCTTTCCTTCCTTAATTTTGGGCATCAGGTATTTTGTCCCAGCAGCAAGAAAAAAGTAACCAAGACAGAATTTGGTACCAGAGGAGTGGGGCCATTGCTGTGACTATATCTGACCATGTGGTTCAAGAGCCTTTGGAAATGGCTTGTGGGGAGTGTTTGGAAAGGTTTAGAGTTGTTAAATGAAAGAGAAGCACTAGAACACCTTCAGCTGTTCTGCCTGTGAGATTCTAGTCAGAGCTCAGAAGCCCAGAAGGTTGATAGAAACCGTGCCGATAAAGACCAGGTTCAGGAGGTTTCTGCTGGGAAGAAGGACTGCACTGGTTGTTGGACTCCAGATGATGTGTGCTATGGCTTGGCAGAAAGTTTGTCTGCATTTTGCTCAGGTCCAGACACTTTGCCTAAGACTGAGATTAAGGGTGGCAGTGGACTGATTAATCTGGCAAACGAAATATCAAGGCAGTCAAACGTTGGGGCAGTGGCATGGCTATTGTTGGGGGCTTTTAGCCAGATTTATATTGAGAATCAAGAACAAAGAACCCAGCAGGATGATTTAAAATGTAGTGAGTTTGGCCAGAAAGGAAGCTCCAGTAATGCTGTGGACTGAAAAGATAAGGCTGAGGAGATCTTTATTGCTGAGAAGGAACAGGAGAATAGAAGAGATGGCCTGAGGGCATCACAAGAAGCCGCAAGTCTCCACCCTTTGCAGCCTCAAAACTGCAAAGGTGAAAGACCTTGCTTTGAGAAAAAAGCTGCTGAGCGCCATGTTCTAGAATGGCAGCAGTGGCTGCACCAGGTTCCAGAATGGCAACAGCATAGAGGATCTGTTCTTCAGAATTGGATTCAGAGTGCCCAGTGATCCAGGCACTCGACCCCTGTGGCCAAGAGAGAGGAAAGCTTGGCTACTGCTCCAGGTGGCAGCAAACTTTGGCATCATCCACGTGGCCCTGGCTTTAGGTATATGGAGAATGCAAGAGTACTGAGGTGAAAGAGGCTTCCACCCAGATTTCAGAAGACCTGGGAGGCCAGGCAGTGTGCCCCTGAGAGGGCAGAGTGTGAGGCTGTGAGTGTGAAGCAAAAGGTGCCCTGGAGACCTCAGGAGTTTAGAAAAGCCAGGACAGTGGATTGTCTAAGGAAAGCTGTAAGGAGGGAGCAAAGCGGGCCTAAGAGAGAAGTCATGGAAGCTGTAACCACCAGAAGTGCCACAGGGGTGGGCTCATGCAAGCCCTTTGGAGCTCACAATGTGCCACAGTTTGCTTCAGATGCTGGTCATGGAAACACAGGACATAATGTTAGCCCTGCTGGATTTTGGACTTGCTTTGGTCCCAGTGCTCTGTGTCCCCATTTGTACCTTTTGGAATGGTACTGCTTATTTTGTGCCATTGAATGTTGGAAGTGTTTAACTTTTCATTTGTACAGGGGCTCACAGCTAAGAGTTTGCCTTACATCTCGGAGGAGACTTGTGCCTTGGACTTTTCAGCAGTGCTGAAACTGTTAGGACATTGGCAACTCTTGCAGGTGGACTAAATGCTGCTTGTATAAAAGAATGGGCATGAGTCTTTGGGGAGCGAGGGGTGGAATGTTATGGTTTGTGTCTGCGTGTTCCCCCAAAGCCTCATGTGGCCATGGGGCAGGCTTTTAGAGTTTGATTGATTATGGGTGTGAGAGCTGCACCCTCCTTGGGGTGGATAGTTTGCATATGTAAGGGAGAGCAAGAGGCTCTTGCGGCCATTTCCTGGCTTTTGTGCTTGTTGCTTTGCTGTGTTCTGCAGACATGAGTGGTAGCCCTGTGCCATGTGCCACTCTGCCTTGTAATCTGCCA